AATTTTGTAACTGTTTGGGGTTTGGTGAAATGGATGCAATAATGATTATTATGAAAGTAAAAGCGTTTTAAGTAGAACATGATAGGAGTTGATAGTGTAAAGATATGGTTAAGTGTGTTAGACGTGTTTTTACCAATAATAAATTTATTTTTTAAGGACCATGATTTTTAAGAATGAATTATACATACTCAAAACAAATTGAACTTAGAGGATAAATATCTTAGTATGCTATAAAATGATTTAAGTCATTTGTGTTTTTGATTGATGAAATTTAACCTATTCTGAAAAATAAAACTATGAAAGGTAAAGTATGAAAAACGCCGAGAAAGTTTGAAAATAAATTATTGAATTTCCATGCGAGGCGTGCGATTTTACATCAACTTTTCCATCTCGCCTCATATTCCTGGGTTTATATATTGTCCATTTCCAGGCTTGTTTTGATTTTACCTGCCGGTATTTTTATTTCAACTTTTCTAATTTTTTGCATGCTATTGTTCAATAGGATTAACTAGTAAAACGATCACACTACTTGTAAAATTGGATTTTTACTGCGGTCTTAACTTTTACATTAATTGAAAATAAACTTCAATTTTGTATACATATTTTACTCCACTAATTTCAAAGCATGTAAGGAATTTTAATAAAACCTTACAAAAATATTACCGAATGTTATAATTTAAAATATTTTCCTTCGTTTATACGTTTAAAAAAGAAAGTTGTCTTCCACGTTTTAATGGGATTGTTAATTTAGAGTTTGGCATTCGAAGCATCTAGTAACGATTTTTAAAACACTACAGTTATTGAAAGAATTAGAGCCAGAAACCTTTCAAAATCTATTATTACCATGTTTGGAAATTTCTATCACACCCAATTATTTCTCCATTCATAACTAAAACATAAAATCATATTTTAAAAATATTTTTGATTTTACTATACAGTAGTTTTCCGTATAACTTAGGAATTCTTTTTTTTAATTTTATTTGTGTTAATTCAGCCAGCCTCTTAACTTCATCGATCGTTACACAGATGTTTCGAGTTTGTTGTGCAAAATCGTCAGTGAGGTGTTGCATCTGAATCCCCAGTATGAATCAACTGTTGGTAACGTTAGTTACTGTTTGTTGTGCAAAATCGTCAGTGAGGTGTTGCGTCTGAATCCCCAGTATGAATCAACTGTTGGTAACGTTAGTTACTGTTTGTTGTGCAAAATCGTCAGTGAGATGTTGCATCTGAATCCCCAGTATGAATCAACTGTTGGTAACGTTAGTTACTGTTTGTTGTGCAAAATCGTCAGTGAGTTGTTGCGTCTGAATCCCCAGTATGAATCAACTGTTGGTAACGTTAGTTACTGTTTGTTGTGCAAAATCGTCAGTGAGTTGTTGCGTCTGAATCCCCAGTATGAATCAACTGTTGGTAACGTTAGTTACTGTTTGTTGTGCAAAATCGTCAGTGAGGTGTTGCGTCTGAATCCCCAGTATGAATCAACTGTTGGTAACGTTAGTTACTGTTTGTTGTGCAAAATCGTCAGTGAGATGTTGCATCTGAATCCCCAGTATGAATCAACTGTTGGTAACGTTAGTTACTGTTTGTTGTGCAAAATCGTCAGTGAGATGTTGCATCTGAATCCCCAGTATGAATCAACTGTTGGTAACGTTAGTTACTGTTTGTTGTGCAAAATCGTCAGTGAGGTGTTGCGTCTGAATCCCCAGTATGAATCAACTGTTGGTAACGTTAGTTACTGTTTGTTGTGCAAAATCGTCAGTGAGATGTTGCATCTGAATCCCCAGTATGAATCAACTGTTGGTAACGTTAGTTACTGTTTGTTGTGCAAAATCGTCAGTGAGATGTTGCATCTGAATCCCCAGTATGAATCAACTGTTGGTAACGTTAGTTACTGTTTGTTGTGCAAAATCGTCAGTGAGGTGTTGCGTCTGAATCCCCAGTATGAATCAACTGTTGGTAACGTTAGTTACTGTTTGTTGTGCAAAATCGTCAGTGAGATGTTGCATCTGAATCCCCAGTATGAATCAACTGTTGGTAACGTTAGTTACTGTTTGTTGTGCAAAATCGTCAGTGAGGTGTTGCGTCTGAATCCCCAGTATGAATCAACTGTTGGTAACGTTAGTTACTGTTTGTTGTGCAAAATCGTCAGTGAGATGTTGCATCTGAATCCCCAGTATGAATCAACTGTTGGTAACGTTAGTTACTGTTTGTTGTGCAAAATCGTCAGTGAGTTGTTGCGTCTGAATCCCCAGTATGAATCAACTGTTGGTAACGTTAGTTACTGTTTGTTGGTTTACAGCTACATCAATCTAAAAGTAATTTAATTTAAAATTGAGATAGTTTCAACATTCAAATCTTACTCTCTTTTGGTGTAAATATCTTTTTATGCGACAGAATATTATTGGTACAGAATAATTTCATAAAAAAATTAGTTAATATTGTATTACCAAATTAGAACTAAACATCAATATAGAGAGCATGGTTTGGTTGTATTATGTGGTCAATCTCTCTCATAAAACGTAATGGATATGTTTAGTGGTTACAGTTACAAATTGGGATTGTGTTCGGGGCTTCTCATATCGTTGTGGTACCACAAACGAAGCAGCTCTAAGGGACTTTTTCTCTTTGGTAAAAAAAAAAAAACTTTTATTGATGAACGTTGCTTATAAAGTTGTTATAAAAATAATTATTCGAAAAATGTTTACTGCGAAGAATCTTTGACGAACCCAATTAAAATTACTCGGATAGAGTTGTAAGTTTCGCTGTTCATTTTCAATTAGTTTACACGTTTCCTTTGTACAAAATGTATTTCATATTAGTATAGAACATATAAAGGGGAGCGAGCTGGTATAGTGGAGAGCGTGGGGCTTCTGGTTGAAATCCCAAGAATTGCCAATAGATCTATCGATGGGCAGCCCTCTAGTGCTAGCCTGAAATAATGGGTAAAACAGTCCCGGGCTTGAGCCCATCGTCCTATGACGTAAAGGTGAGACATAGAAAAAGTCGAAAGTATATAAAAACTATTATTTAAATGATTTTTTAATAAGATGTATTATGACCTACTTTAACTGGAAATAAATATTTGTATGCAAATTATATTTTACAAGTTTAATTATTTAAATTATTTTTTATCATTGGACTTAAATTAGTATTTCAGTTACTAACACCAAAAGTTAAGGTAAAAAAGGCACAACAGAATGTGTCTAGACTTTTCACTCTGCTTCTTTACACTCTTCATAATAATTCACTGCGGTTTATATAATTTGCGGTTTGAATAATGGTCTGCCAAAAGTAAAACTGGTTCAACAATATGGTGGAGTGTGCTTTATTCATGTGAAATATATATAATGGTTTGAGTAAGTAAATCTAGAAAAGTGTATTTATTTGTTATAACTATAACATTAAACGCAACGTATTATTTACCAAATTAAACAGCTTAAACTCAATTGTAATTCACCAAATAGTTTGATTTTTTTCATCATCTGACTGTCGAACATTTGTGCCATTTTATGGTTTTTTAGAGTAAAAAAAGTAAAGGAAAATTATTTTGCCAATGACCCAGCCCCCTAGACCTTATTCTATTAGTCGCTTCGGATATTCTAGCGTGCCTTGCAAACAATAGTTGGTTTACACATTTAATTCAGGTTTCGTTGATATTGCAAGATTTTTACGAACATTATCGTGCAAATTACATCATTTGATGTGTGTGTTAGCTTTGAAAGACTCTTAAACAATTTTGCAAGGCCCCGTGCTTATGCTTTACCATGAGTGACCAGAAACAGTAGCTACTTACAAAGAAAATTCTCTAAAACATAAAATCTAAAATGTTTACTAAACCCCCCACCCTCACCAAAAAATAGTTAATCAATACCACTCCGATTACTTTGCCTTACATACGAACTATTATAAACTATAATGGGGTAATCATACTAAGTAATCGTAAAAGTGTTATATACAAAAATACTATTTCAAATACACAATTTTTGTGCATAATAAATATAGCAGCTACCAATTATAATATATAACGTTTCGAGGCTTATCTACCACCAAGTAGGGTATGGAGATGGCGATATTTGTAGACCGCTATTTGACTAAGTTAAGCTTTCGCAGTTGATCGGTATTGAAATAGATCACCAATAGATTCAGCGTAGCTATAAAATACAGGTAACAAAAGTCAATCTATTTGGCAAAACTGTATATACATATAAAGTTTTTTTGTAATTCTTTTCCATAATATAGATTATAAATTTGACAATCTGCTTTAGTTTTCTAGGTAAATAAAATTTATTTTGGACTTTACAATCAACGAAGTTCAGACATTTCAGTTCAGATTAAAGTATATGTTAGTTTTTATCTTTCAATTCAATTCAACGACCTTGCTAATTTAATTAACCTCAAGCGTTAATGTAGTATGACAACTGTTTTATCTTATGATTATTACAATACACGGAATAATTAATTTGGTAAATGATGAGTTTTTTTTTTTTTTTTTTTTTTTTTTTACAGGAAGAATATTAACTCGGGTTTCCACTTCAACTAGCTGATCCTCTCACAGTAGGTTGTAAGTCCCTGCCTTGTCAACTTGGGGAGGAAATCCTCTAAACCTGATAAGTCTCGTCCATGTTCTCATCCTATCATATGAGGAATACATTTTGTATCTCATCCGTTTATATTTTCTAGCAATTTTAAATGCTTTAGCATTGTAACTAGACTTGTTCACATTGGTTCCAATTGCATTAATAATTAATTGTAGAAATGTATATAAGGCTATATCAAAAACATAATTGCATAGCATCATTGTATATCAATAAAGTTCTTTCGCCAGCAAAATAATTGGTTGTTGGATGTTTCGACGTTTGTAAATTAAATCCATTTTTATTCAGTATACATACTATTTCTGAATTGTTATTATGGTTCTATGACATTATACATTTGGTTACGAAAGGATTAGCTTATTGCCTGTAAATCCTTTCCCGAAGTTAACATCATCATGCCACAATATTACAACATCAATATGTAGCAGCAATTGTTTTACATGTCATACAATAACTATTTTTATTCATTTTTAATTGTTCTATTGCAGTACATGTTTATTTGGCAATAGTGTATTCCAAGCAAGGGTGTTACGTTTTACTTAAAGCCTTTCCAAAATCACTTTAATTGTTGTCTCTTTGGTGTCTGGAGATCTTCATGATAGACTCGTAGATTCCAGACATGCTGAAACCAGAAAATAGTAAGTTTATGCTCTATATATTTTTAAATAAATTGCAAACTGTATCTAACTACTGTACCATAGCAATACGCTGTGAGAGCCTCGACTTGGAAATTTTGCAACTTTATTGAAATGCCTTCTAGACATAAGAGGGAGAAACATGAGGAATTGCGTATTTTAATTGTGTTCAAAACTGGGTTCTTAGGCAAAAGAAAAACAATACCCTTTTTATTTTTAAATAATACGCGGTTTACTGTGTGACAGTAACTAGGACAATAGAATTACTAAGTACAATTAATTAAATTGTTGAATTGAGATATATACCATAATGAGCAATTTCCTTACCTCTATTAGGCTACAATTTTCGATCACTGAATATTTGAAAGGGAACTGTAGATATAAATTAAACGCAAGGGGACGAATCCCTAAAGGACCTTTTGAGTTACCATTTGCCCCTCTGCCAAAAGGGATGTAGCAAAGAAAACCCTTGCTGTATTAATTAAAAGTATATAGATATAGTATGGATAATGTAATGACCATGATGACAAAATAACGACTTCTGGTTGAAGGTCAAAAAATAAAATGATGTGAATTGTCAAACTTTTTTATCAAAAGCAACATGGATAATCAATTTAACCATTATTTGACGAATTATACCAGATAACGCAACAAACATACAATGTAATTTGATAATGGATTATTTGCAGTCGCTCGTCATACCTCTCAGCTAGTTATCAATAATAATCTAGTTCTGTCTGGTTAGTGGTAATAATATAAAATCTAATTGTAAAAACAACTAATGTGTTCCCAATTTCAGAGAGTTTGTCTATCACTTTTAAATTTACAAAAATAAGGCTATGTGTGAATAAGTCCGTAATTATATCGTATACGTATTTTCGAATTCGATACCAAAAACTACGTATTATACTTCCCTAAAAGTGTGGAACATTGCCAGAATACGATTCAAATTTATGATTTATCGATTTTCATTGGGAATATTTATAAAAATAATGTATTGCTTAGACGAATTATCTTATCAAATAGATATAAATATGTTTAATATGTTAAATGTGTTATAAATATGCTTATGGTTTGCGCATTATTGAATTACGAATTGACCACTCAATTTGATAAGTCAAACAAGATGCTAATTAAATAAGACGTCGAGGAACAACTGTAAATGCATATGCCAGTTAATTTCAGCTGGCTACTTCAAACCTTATTCAAACGAATGATAGAGATATCGATTTGCGTGTGGGTGTGTGTGTGTACACACAATGGGAAAATCTTTAAAAAAATAACTAAGTTAGAGAACTCCTTTTTTGTATATTTTTAAGTCTCAAATTAAATACGCATCATTCAACAAAATAGATACAAGAAATACAATCGTCAGGCTTAAGAGTTATATTCCCCCGCATTGACTACAAGCTCGTGCTCGGAGAAGATACTCGTATTATTATACTCATCCTACTATATTTTTCCACTTAAAAGACTTCAGATTATTATATTTTGATTAAAAGGTTGTAATTTCTTGTTGTTAGTAGATTAAACTATGTAAATACATTCCATTTGCAGGTAAAATACTTTTAGACCTACATTTTGATGAGTAAATTGTTCAATTTACCTCAGAGAAAGAGAGCATCAGAGAGGGTTTTGAATAGTTACTGTGGTTTGTAGAGTTTATTGTATAGATTGAGAAGGTGTATTGATAATCATCGTTCCCTAGCCACACTGAGCTTTTCTCCTCATGAGGTATCCAGAATACTCGGTCCTGAAAACCTCCCAGGCCGTAGATCACCTGAAAATTAGTCACATGAGTTATGTATCAACTGATATAAGTAAATGTAAGCAGCATAATTGATAGCTAATTTATGTTGTTATCTCCATGCGAGGTTATCTACATACGAAGTATTTGGTGTAGTTCCTCACTAAAATGTGAGGAAAATAGCAACACTATTATTTAGAAATAAGAGTATGTATTGCATAAAGAAAATTTGAAAGCTAATTACGGTTATCGTCAATATAAATATATAGTCTGGAAGAAACTACTATTCAATATCGTATTTCCTGAAGTGTTTAAAATTTATAACATTTCTTTAAGACTACTTTCTTTGGAATAGCTACCACACAGAGAAGGAAGGTACCTAGGAAACTTGTTTATGAGACTACCGTGCACTTTCAGTTCTAGTATTTTGTGCCTGAAATGCAATTGTACTGAGCAAGGAAGTGCCCGAGCGGTGTGCACTGTACGGAAACCCCCATAACGCAGGGGGCACAGGTTCTTCCTCAAGTGGAAGCGTTGCACTTCATGAAAACGGGGGTAGGCATTGTTAGACTTTGCCCTAGACATCAGCGATAGGTGCTAGACATTTAAGTGTTCCATTGAATGTTTCCTCTGTACCTTACTTCTCTATAGCTACAATAGACATAATATATTACACTGGGAGTGTCAGTGAAGGTGTGTAAGTTATAGCCGTCATATCTACAGGAGACCAGCCTCCATGACTCCTGAGCACCGCCAGCTACGAGGAGATACAACCTCTGAACAGACGGGTCCATAGCGATATTCCTGACACTTCCTAGGCTGGAAAACACGTCCTTTCGGACCCCCTTTCCCTCCAGGTCACTCGTGTGTATCTCGTTGTTAGTCATCCAGAATAACTTCCTGAAACAACGGTATTGTTTTCAACTTTAATTTTTTTGTTTTTCGCTGGTGCAATGTATTTAGAATCTTTTTGTGACCTCTAAGACTACAATTAAATTGAATTGATGTCAATCCGTAGAAGATTAAAATTTTGATTCAGTGACTCACCCCACGTAAGGGTCCACTAGAAGCTTGTTGAGGTTCTGCTCTATATACAACCCTCTGTAGAGGATTCTGGGACTGGAACCATCCAACTGACCGCAGTGGAGAATCAGCACCGCCCCTGACAGCCAATACAGGGTCTGATGTACCCAGTCTACTGCTAGGGTTGTTAGGAGGTACTCATCCTGAGGGTCCACCAAGGGAGTGAGGTTCAGAGTGGACGGTCCTGTCAGAGACGTTCTGAAAATTCAAACATACAAACTACCTTTTGTATCAAAACTAAGTCATGGCACAAGTTTAAGGGAAACCTCTTATTAGGGTAAACATCTGCGTAACAAATTAATACGTATTTGAAATGTTTTTCACTGTGCAACAATTAAAATTAAATTAATACAAAGATATATTCTACATAGAAACAATTTTTTCATTTAATATTTAAGAATACACATTATGTTAAGCTCGAATGAACATCACTTCGACTGTAAAGGCTAAAAGGCAAATTTACGATATTAAGCAGTGACAAAGAAAAGAAAGCTGAGAGGGTATTAAAATGAAGCTAAACAGATATTATATTTTTAATTCTAGGGACTAATAATCCCTTTGTATAGATAAACTGGTTTAAATTAGTAATTACGATTCTTCTTCGCTTTTTCTCATTTTCTAGTGTGTTTTAGTAACGCTTGTTTTTTACACTTTTAATTCAAACAATTTGTTGATGGAGGTAAATTCTTTTGTAGACTTTTTACTAAATTCCATTTACATTAAAGAAATATATCTTCCGATTCTATGTCTCCGACTCTACAAACTTCGCATAGCAAAATTAAAATATTTTATGAAAGGATCCAAAGTTTGGCTTAAAATCAACATTTTGTTCTCAATGCAAGTGTACTAAGAAAATAAATAAGCTTATTCCGTCTTCCGTATTCCGTAATTTAAATGAGTCGTAAATATAGATTTTTGTTCTTGTTTGTTTTTGTTGTTTATTAACCAAAGTTTTTACTATACATTCAACAAATTCATCTCCATAGTTGACATTAAATGCTGGATACACTGTGTCAACACATGCCCTTTTTGAAGGGTGTCCAGCATTGGGGGTCAACGGATATGAATTTGTCAAAATTAATTAATTTATGTTGCCTAAATAAATCCTACAAATAACCAAACCACCAACAATGGGTTGAAGGAAACCCGCTTACATTTTTCCTATCATCCATTATAAAATAAAATATAGTCATTTAACTTAAGACCTTGGCTGAAATATGGATTAGAATTCCCACTTTTCTTAGCTCACGTCTTTATTTACTATAGTAGGTTATCTTATAAAAAATAATATTAAAATCATTAACACACCTCAGTATTTGTCTATAGGTAAGTAAATACAGTTCTTCCCTAGTGTAGTGATAGTCAAGGTCCTTGACCATGTCCTTGAGCAAGGCGAGTTGTTTGTGTCCTCCAGCGGGTCCATGGAGGCTGACCCCGTCGTGAGTGACCACCAAGAACTCTTGGCAACATGACTCTATAATAAATAACATAAAGTTCATGTTGCTATTATTTTTGTGTACGTTTATCTATTCAATGGGCACTTTATAAAAGCGCAACCAAATTTTTTTAAAGAAAAATTTTATTCTATTTTAACCGCAATTTATTGCCAAATGGTTCCATATATGAAATGAGCATAGCAATTATTTAATTTTATTTAACTTTTTTACCAATTCAACTCATTTTTAAGAATTTTATATTTTTGTACTACAAAATGTGATAAAACGAGTGTTTCAATTTTTTAATTCATATTTTCAACAGGATAATGTATCGGATTAGGCCTATGTAATAAATAACACGGATTTCAAGACGCAATTATGTTTTTTGCAAAAATTAACTTTTCTATTCCATTGAGAATTTTATGAAAGTATGTAGGGTCTTTTAATAATGATTTGAATCACGATTTGTGACCAAATTGTCTTACCGGTAAAAAGTGTATGGCGAATATATAATTTTAGGTATTTTATTGAACAAATTGACTTATTTTGGTTGGAGAATTTTGAATAGTGATATGGAATCTAATTCAATAACACTTTTATCGTTTCTAAACATTTAGTTTCAATAAGCTAATGTATCTAATTCAGTGTTGTACGGATTTATAAATAATTATTTTTTTAAATTAATAAATGTATCAATAAGTATAGCTCTAAATAAATTATTCGTTGTCTTTTTCTTTTAAAGTCAGTATTTTTCTAATGAGTTTTACGAATAAAATATAACAACCTTACGAGATACCCTGGAAAAGTTTAAAGACGAAAACGTAAATAAGACACATAATTCAATACACTGCTTCTACTCTTACGCGTTTGAAACTGAGACACATAATTTATAACACTATCCAAGTATAAATCTTATCTGATAAAGAGACATACGGAAATTACATTCTGTCACACTACAACGCCCCCAAAGCTATATTTGGGCTGAATAAAGTTTGTACAGTATGAACTAAATAAAATACAAATGCTTGGTTTTAGTTCAAATCAATACACTATAATAAATTCATCCTTAGTACACATATTTATCATGATGTTATAATACTCGTAGTTGATTATCATAAGACAAAATATAACACAGGTTAGAAATGAGTTAGAAATGAGTGTCTACTTAGCAAAAATGTTTTAGTTATCAAGCATCCTGAGTTAATTGTAACAGTTACGTGTAATGCATTCTAAAGTTAATTATTAAAATATTCTGCGCAAAGTTTTCTCTTACAGAGAACATGTTTTAATGAGAAAACTTCGCACATCGTTGATCAAAGATAGAGTGCTTCAAAGGATTGTTATATTCTCGTGGGGGAAATTGGTTCTTTCCTGCAAGGAAGCTAGAATGTCATATTTTCTGCTGTTACTTTAACTTTGTGACTGTTAAAACTCATGATAATAGTATTTTCTCTTTATTTTAACTTAAAAGATAATTAATTAATATATTTTATTTCATTTACTTGAGGGCGCTTACATTATGGCTACTCAGCCGATTTGTATATTTTTTATGTACGTTTTCTGTTTCCTTAATCAATATAATAAAATATTTTTTTTGTGGAATAATAGTAATGAATATTTGAAAGTTAATTTTAGTATTCAAATTTGTAATGTAAAAGTTTAGTTTGTTATAAATTAAAACGGTTGTAGATTTAGAATGGAAATGCTATCCTTCTAACGATTTACAATAAGTCTTAGAAAATTGTCTTTCTTATTTTTAGTTTAAGAGTGGTTTGTGTCTAATGTTTGGTTTATTATCTAAATCTTTATAGGCCAGTCAAATCGTACATAAAAAGAGGCTAAAATCGCAAAGCGTGATGTATTGCTGCATTTTTAATATGTTGTTAGGACTAGTTAGGGCAACTCAAAACCAAGTTTGCAGCTTCGAAATCCCTGTGCTCCCTGCGTAATAAGTAAAATATTACAAAATTAATGTATTTTTTTTATTTTTTGGTCTATAACTTTTTAACAGTGCATTTTTCTTAATACTACTCAAATGTAATAATTAAAGTACATAAAATGTCCAACAATTTAAGCATAGTTTCATTTTTGTGTGTCAAATAGTTTTTGAGCAATGATTTTTCAAATAATACAATTTTTTAAAGTAATTACCATAATTTGCATTTTTTCTGGGTTCGACCCACAAAAACTGTGCAATACCCATATTATGGCAGAATTCTTAAAAACTGCTTTTGTAGTAAATTTTATTGGCTTTTGTTTTATCACAAAGCCAAGTCTGTACCTCCAACACTTTTCTGAAAAATATACAAATAATAATTAAAGGAATATTAAGATTTTTTTCATTTAACAAGTTTAATTGTTTTTACAACATGTGTATGTTATTAAGAGTTAGATATATAAATTTAACTAAGCTTTAGCTAATAAAAAAAATATATAATGTAAATTTGTTTAAAAACAACTTACAGTAAATATCCCCACCGCAGAAAATGATAAAATATATCTGTCTCGGCTTAGGCCTTACCGTACCACCTATGGTATAGGTACTTTCTATCAGTAAGTAAAACAGAAAAATAATCTTAATTTCTTCCTAATTATCGCTCCGCTTTGTATTTAACACATTCATATTTTTTATTTAATATTAATTTCTTACTATACATAACTTTCGTAATACAGGATAATCTTAATTACTGTTTCCTGTAACTGAACAGCTGATATTCATAAAAGCTATGTTTATTTGACACAAATGATTTGGCCTACAACACTACCAAACAAACAGCTGACTAAAGCAAAACAGTAAACAAATGTATACTTTTACAATATAGGTTAATAACGTAATTTCCTCACTAAGTTATGTGCAAATCGTAATAAGTGAAATGTCGGTTCCACCGGGTGTGTGTTTCATTTGTAAAACTACTCTTGATGAAGGTCAAGTAACTGTAGTTAAAAAACGTGGTGTCACTTCACTTATTGAGGTGAGTGTGAAACGTGCCCTTAAGGAGAATACACAGTTTTTGCAAGATTTAGATGAAGTAACTGTTCATGATTTGTGCAGAAAAAGATACTCTGTTCAAAGTAATATTTTGGCATCGATTCGTCGTGGTAATCATACGGTTCCTACTAAACCAATATCTTCAAGATTAACAACTGGCTCCTTGGGATTGAAGAACATATGTTTTCTATGTGGGGAAAATATTACAGAGGAATTCATCAAGCTTCAAAACAAACTGCCTCTGTCCAGAAGGAATATTTTGCATCAAGTGCAGTCCCTTAATGCGAGGGAAACATTTTTTGAAGTGGCTAGTCGTCGATGTGATGAATGGGGACAACAGATTATAAATCGTCTTGTAGCTGAAACTGACCTCATTGCTGCTGGTGCAAGGTACCACACTTCATGTCATAAAAAGCTATACAGCATGCCATTGGCTAGTAGACTGAAAAGATCCCACTCGGAGCCAACTAACGTCGAGGAATGCATGGAATATATATATTCACACCTTGCAGAAAATAGAGAAGAATGTCAATTTTCGTTGGTCAATCTTATTGATCAAATTAAAGGTGATTACAAGCCAGACATTAGAACTGAAAAGGCTCACCTATTGAAGCACTATGGTGATGAGATAATTATTGTAGAGGTTGGCCGGGGCCGCAATTATCACTCAGTCGCATGTTTTACAGACGTTGGACAAAAGATCCTTTATGACAACTGGTATAGTGAAAGAAAGAGCAATCCTGCAGAAGAACGAATGAGAGTCGTGAAATCCGCAGCAGATATAATCTTAGAAGACATTCGATCTCAAGTTTATGACACCACAGAGTATCCTCCCACTGATAATTTTATGCAGGACGTCGAATCTGTTGTTCCAGAGTCACTGAAACTCTTGCTTGAAACGATAGTTATGAAAAACAAACGCCATTCTATCGATAGTTGGAAGAAGAAATGTATTTTTTTTTTTTTTTTTTTTTAAGAGGTTGGCGGCCTCTTTTAACCTTGCATTTGCCCGTCCACATAGACTACAGATCTGTGCGTGGAACGTATCCAGCAAAGCAAGGGGTGAGCCGGTACAGTACAAAGGTGAACTGTACTGATAAAAGTTAGTGGCAGTGACCAGGATCCGAACCCACGACACTACTGCCTTGGGCCCGAAGTCCGCGACGCTACCAACTGAGCCACCGACTCACCAAATAACAGGTCATACAACATTTTAATAGGTCATACAATAATATCTGCCGTAAGACCTAGTTCATTCCTCTTTTCACTCAAGACAAGCTTTGGTGTTTATCTGTACAGGAAATTTGGTTCAAAACACCTTGTTAATCTCTGCGCAGCAATGGGTTTTAGTTGCAGTTATAGTGAGGCAACCCTGGTTGAAAGCTCAGCTATCATACAGAAAGGAGATACACCACCAATTGAGAAGGGAGCGTTCATTCAGTTTGCTTTTGATAATGCTGATATGAATGTCAACACCTTAGATGGCGAGAACACTTTCCATGAAATGGGAGGCATGATGATTATCACGCCTGAGACTGCAGTAATGCCTGACAAAGCAATTCCTCGTTTAAAGAAGAATGTTCCTGCTAATGCAATTGGCTCTTTTGTTGTTTCCCATATAAAACAATCCAACACAAGGAAAATGCTGGACTGTCTAATATTACAATTACTGACGTTAGTGAACGTTTTCAAGTTGAAGGTGATATTCTTCCCACAAACCTAGACTTGCTATGGTTGTTTGGAAAATCTTCAAATGCCCCTGGTATCCCTGGCTGGAATGGATTTATGGAGCAAGTGACTAATGGTCTAGATTTCAACCGATCAAGAATAGTTTTCCTTCCATTTATTCATGCTCCACCCACAGATTATGACACTGTGCTAACCTCCCTCCTTGAAGCCAGCGCAAGAACCAAAGCTCATGGTCAAAACACCTGTTTTGTTACCTATGATCAACCTCTTTATATAAAAGCAAGAGACATTGTAGATAATTGCCAACACACTGATTTGAGTAATGTGGTAGTAAGACTAGGAGGTTTCCACTTACTAATGTCATTTATGGGTGCAATTGGTGCAG